TACACACACACACACACACACACGTACACACACACACACACACACACATACACCTCTCTCTCTCTAAACCATAAATGTAGAGCAAACATTTTCTCATATTATCGAAAAGATTAAAATTATATTTTGATGAACATTAAAAAGTCACGCGTTCCTAAGGTGCTCGGTCGCTCCGCTCACTCGAGTCGTAGATTATATTTCAATTATAAAAGGGCTTAGAAACAAAATGAATAAAAAGAACTCTACCCGTATTCCACCAATAAAATCGTGAGTGTTATCGTATGCAAGTCATGTTGGCGCAACAAACAAATAAACATATACATCAACACACAGTGACAGACACAATTATCTCCTCTGTTTTGTGAAGTGACGAGCGGCGAATATACTGAGCGCCATTTCTGTTGACCTGTGACGTACTTCGGTTTGAAGAGCGGATTCACCGACCAATCGGAGGGCGCTGCGTTTGCCGATCGCTATGCGCATTGGGAAATGCGTACGTCACAGGTCAACAGAAACGGCGCTCAGTATATTCGTCGCTCGTCACTTCGAATTTTTGTAACAGGTTATATTAGTTTAATACAGAGTATTGCAATACATAGTAAGTTCCCAGATAGCGGAAAAAGGTTCGTGTTGAGAATAAACCCAGTTTGGAAGTTCTAGTCTCTGAAAACGCACCAGCAAACCGGCCCGAGTGATTCACTCGGGCATTCCTCCGCACAAAAGGATAGGGAGGCTTTGTAACCCTATCCTCTTGGGTTTGGGTTACATTATTGTATCTACCCTAACCCTAACCCTAACCCTAAACCTAACCCTAACCATAAGTATAACCCTAATTTCTAAACCTAACCCTAATCCTAACTCTAACCCTAACGCCAAAAAGGGGCTTGAACGACCGACGGCTACCGTACCTCCAGCCACTGCGTTATAAATAAGCAATAGCTGCCTAACCCTTCAATGCTTCATAGCCATGCTGATGCATCGACATAATGCTGTGTGTGGCTATACACTAAGTAATACAGCAAATACAGTAAATAACAACCGATAGGGGCCTACCTTGTTTGTTTCACGCTGTGCCGTTATTATTCGTTTTTATGCTTCTTAACCGGAATCTCCAGGTCAAGGAACGTCTAAAATAATCAGTGTCATCAATCACTCATCATACCACCAACTTGGCAAGCGAAAATGACAACAATAACATGATAGACATTAGTTGATATAGATAGAATCTGTATTCCACGTCTTTTAGCTTTCAACAACAACAGAACATCATCCCCTAGACTGTTCCTTGTCATGCCAATCATGCCTTGTCATAGCTTGTTCCTTGTGACGCCACCACTGCCACTGGCACTGAGCAAGGAGCGGTATTATATAATAACGATTAATTATCAATATATTTTGTGTTATAATAACAACATAATGTGTTATGATAGCAACGTAATGCGTTTTAATAATAACGTGTTATGAGGAGTGAATAATAATATTAATTAATAATAATAATATCATAATATTATTCACTCCTGATAGTGATCGATACACACTTCGCGCGTGCTGCACTGTTGGTAATGAACTGTGAACCCGTCTAGCTACCACCTGCCGGCTGTATAGGATACTGTACTGTACTGGGCCAATAGGAGCGGATGAATTGCCGCATGCGACAAACGACCATGACGGCGTAAAGTTAGAATATATTAGTATTATGGCGTGGATCCTTGTAACAGATTGTAACTATGTAAAAAGGTTCCATACCCGTTACGGACTGGGCAGATCCACGACTAGCAATCCGCTGATGGTGACGCAACATACTCTGCGTGTTTCTCATGTGCGTAGGTAACTAACAGCCTGACAACTAGTTGAACTTCAACTTGTGTACAAAATCAAAATGACATTGTCATGGTCATTGCGTCATGCATGGTCATTGCGTCAACTTGGACTTTGGCCATTGCATTCCACTTGCAGCAAGAACAAGCTCGCACGTAGGCCTACACAGCACACACGCGGCCATTGACTATAATAACAACATAATAACAATGGTTGTTATTAATATTATAGTCAATTGCCGTGTGTGTGCTGTACTTGCGGGCTTGTTCTTGCTGCCAGTGGTTGCGTCAACCTGACTCCTGCGCCAAACAGTGTGGCACTTGAAAAATGTACAGTAGGCCTACAGTACTTCGATCAGTACTGAGTACCGTATAGCTTCAGCGGTTGTCTACAGGGAATACACACTCATGACATCATACTGCATTGTGTACACAAGGTAAAGTTTATATGAACAACCATATTGTATTGAAAGTTATGTTATGACTCAGTCGTGGAACCGGACCGTCTCATTCATTATTCGTACCGTAGCCGTAGGAATTCCATCGGTTATGTTATGTTCTCGTACTTGTCGGTGTCCACTACACTGGATATAATCATAATGACAAGGTAGTAAGGCTCAAAGTAGCGTTTACACACCCATGTCGTGAGTTTAGTTAATGTGGGGGTACAGTCTTAAAAATTGACAGAGGTCATCTTGAAGGTGTTGTCAACTAATTTCGAGCAAGAAAGGGGCCATTTGTTGTCGCAAAGGCGCGACAATACGTCGTTTCACCCGGCCACCTTGTTGCCCGGCCGCCAGGATATGCCGCATATATATATATATACACAGTCGCTCAGTAACACTCCACAGTATATAGCGTAGTGGCGCCATCTATCGGAGAAAAAAAGTGGTTTTTAAACCTGGGGTTGTCAAATAGGATTTGGCCGGTAGTAAGTGCCTTCAGGGATAAACCCAATAAACAAACGGGTGCATAATGATGATGTGAGTGCAATGCAACTGGTGTCCTGTTAAAGTGAGTTTGCGTGCATGTGGGAGTGTAGATACAATAATGTAACCCAAACACAGGATAGGGTTACAATGCGAGCCTATGGTTTTCTGTGGAGGAACCCCTGAGTGAATCACTCAGGGCGGTTTGCTGGTGCGTTTTCCGCTCGTCGCTTTGAATTTTTGTAACAGGTTATATTAGTTTAATACAGAGTATTGTGATACATAGTAAGTTCCAGGATAGCGGAAGAAGGTTCGTGTTGAGAATAAACCCAGTTTGGAAGTTCCAGTCTCTGAAAACGCACCAGCAACAGGGTTCTCCCAGCGAGCCACATGCCTCGCCGAGTTAGCAATAGCGCGTTAGGTAGCTGCCTTTTGTTTGAATTAGAGGCGCGCAATGGCTTTGGATTGATGGCCAAAGAATGGAGAATCGTGTTGTACGTTTAGTCTGTATCTCCGGATTGCGGGTGTATACGAGGAAACGATTTCGCACGATGCTAGGCGAATGTACTGTGTCCGATTTGAGCTCAAGTTGGATGAGTTACGCGTAGTAAATCGTAGGTATTATAAGGCTAGTAAATGACGAATTTCCCTTGTTTATTGATGTCACACTCCTTCCCTATTATCTACTCCTGATATATAGGTATTCTAACCCTAGCAATACCGTTTCTTGGAGCTAGTGCGTAGGTAACACTAACAGCCTGACAACTAGTTGAACTTCAACTTGTGTACAAAATCACATTGTCATTGGCCATTGCGTCAACTTGGACTTTGGCCATTGCATTCCACTTGCAGCAAGAACAAGCCCGCACGTAGGCCTACACAGCACACACGCGGCCATTGACTATAATAACAACATCATAACAATGTCAATGGTTGTTATTATAGTCAATGGCCGCGTGTGTGCTGTACATGCGGGCTTGTTCTTGCTGCCAGTGGTTGCGTCAACCTGACTCCTGCGTCAAACAGTGTGGAACTTGAAAAATGTACAGTAGGCCTACAGTACTTCGATCAGTACTGAGTACCGTATAGCTTCAGCGGTTGTCTACAGGGAGTACACACTCATGACATCATACTGCATTGTGTACACAAGGTAAAGTTTATATGAACAACCATTGTATTGAAAGTTATGTTATGACTCAGTCGTGGAACCGGACCTTCTCATTCATTATTCATACCGTAGCCGTAGGAATTCCATCGGTTATGTTATGTTCTCGTACTTGTCGGTGTCCACTACACTGGATATAATCATAATGACAAGGTAGTAAGTGCCTTCAGGGATAAACCCAATAAACAAACAGGTGCATAATGATGATGTGAGTGCAATGCAACTGGTGTCCTCTTAAAGTGAGTTTGCGTGCATGTGGGAGTGTAGATTTTAGTAATTTCGCGCCCCATTTGGGAAAACCCCCCCCCCCCCTGTTTCAATCGTTGCGCCCCGTTTAAATTACCTCCGCCCCGTTTAAATTACCTCTGCCCCGATTAAATTCCACCACAATAAAAGTTTGACTTGTATACGAGGAAACGATTTCGCACGATGCTAGGCGAATGTACTGTGTCCGATTTGAGCTCAAGTTGGATGAGTTACGCGTAGTAAATCGTAGGTATTATAAGGCTAGTAAATGACGAATTTCCCTTGTTTATTGATGTCACACTCCTTCCCTATTATCTACTCCTGATATATAGGTATTCTAACCCTAGCAATACCGTTTCTTGGAGCTAGTGCGTAGGTAACACTAACAGCCTGACAACTAGTTGAACTTCAACTTGTGTACAAAATCACATTGTCATTGGCCATTGCGTCAACTTGGACTTTGGCCATTGCATTCCACTTGCAGCAAGAACAAGCCCGCACGTAGGCCTACACAGCACACACGCGGCCATTGACTATAATAACAACATCATAACAATGTCAATGGTTGTTATTATAGTCAATGGCCGCGTGTGTGCTGTACATGCGGGCTTGTTCTTGCTGCCAGTGGTTGCGTCAACCTGACTCCTGCGTCAAACAGTGTGGAACTTGAAAAATGTACAGTAGGCCTACAGTACTTCGATCAGTACTGAGTACCGTATAGCTTCAGCGGTTGTCTACAGGGAGTACACACTCATGACATCATACTGCATTGTGTACACAAGGTAAAGTTTATATGAACAACCATTGTATTGAAAGTTATGTTATGACTCAGTCGTGGAACCGGACCTTCTCATTCATTATTCATACCGTAGCCGTAGGAATTCCATCGGTTATGTTATGTTCTCGTACTTGTCGGTGTCCACTACACTGGATATAATCATAATGACAAGGTAGTAAGTGCCTTCAGGGATAAACCCAATAAACAAACAGGTGCATAATGATGATGTGAGTGCAATGCAACTGGTGTCCTCTTAAAGTGGGTTCGCGTGCATGTGGGAGTGAAGCCTTGACTTAAAAATGTCAACGTCCTTTGCTTCCACAACACCCACGGGTAGGTTGTTTTAGATTGGAATCATCCGGGGGGAAAAAGAGTATTTGAATGTGTTGTTGTTGCAGTGCAGGTGCCGAAATTTGTGGTTTTTTTTTTATCTGGTACCTGACATCCCCGGGATCAGATATCTATTCGCCGGTATTGCTATGAGGTGGTTTACAACCTTATACATCACTACACTCGAGGACATCCTTGTATCGGTACAACCTTATCAAGTAGTTTCATCAAAACTGGGACACTAACATTGTAACATCTGTAACACTGTAGTATTGAATTTATATAAGTATACTGGGTTCTCCAAGCTTTTTCATTATAGCATGGCGGGTGCTGCTTTTACGGTTCTATAGTTGCAAATCGCCGAAGGCGGTTTGCGTGCTAGGGGGGTGGGGGGTGCTATGATATTTAGCATGGCGGCTATGATATTTAGAGTGGTGGGTGCATTTTAGAATGGCGGGGCTCGACGATAGCCTGGCGGGCCGCCAGGCTATAAGTGCTCTTGGAGAACCCTGGTATATATATACTATAATATCTGATAATATAGTATTGTTTTTATACTGTAAAACCGGCCAGCCTCAGAAATACCCGATAAGCTATGATGCGTAATTATCCTCCACACAAAGTGTAGCGGAGGGTATTGTTACTATTGTTTTTATTTTTTTACTATTATTTTTGGCTCGGTTGTATGTGTGTGTGTGTGTTTCTGTCCGCTCGATATCATTGCAACCGTGAGAGGTAGAAACTTCAAACTTGGTCCACAGGTGCATCTTATGGGGCGGTAGAACCCTATTGATTCTGAGTGACCTTGACCCAAGGTCAAGGTCACAGGGTCATTAAGTATATTTCCAAAGCTGGGTCATAGCAGAAGGACCATACCATTGCTAATGTGGGGTAGGTGTTCCAGGCGGTATTTCCAGGTGTGTTGTTTGTGGCAGAGTGTGTTCTGATATTGATTCATTTCACTGCGCTGTAGAATAGCTTTCTGATATCACAGGTGTAGTGATCGCGTGTGCACTCTCCGAATGCCTTCTTTCTAGTTGTGCCTGCAATTGCATCGGCTACATAATTGTGATTCGCGCTATCTGCCAAGAATCTGTCAGACTGTGTGTGGGTTGTTCAAGCTAGGTCACTTTACATCATACCAAGAGTAGATAATAACACATATTAGTGCATGACGTGATGAATCGCTGCAATCTCATTGGATAACGCAGCAGGCATTATGAAGAGATAGTGCCCGCCTTAGCGGGCACTATCGCTTGCGCGACGCATTGTTATTATAACGCATTGTGTTTACGTCACGAATCTCCTGCGTCTGGGCGCCACGCAAGATTTTGGAATTAATGGCGATTGTGTTTGTGTCGAGCGTTTTGTTACATCGAATGCACCGGCAAATTAGGGAGTATAAAGAAGGTATATACGCATGAAAAGTAGATTGCATAGTCATGTGATGCACTAAAAACATTAATGCCTGCTGTTGGGGGCACTATGCTCTCATAGTGTTGCTTTGGGAAGGAATAGTGCCCTCGCTACCGCTCGGGCACTATTCCTTCCCTCAGCAACACTATGAGAGCATAGTGCCCCCAACAGCAGGCATTAATATATAAATAATGTGTTATTATCTACTCTTGATCATACGTTAGGAAAATGCACGTACCTCGCAGCAAAGACCAAAATCAAGCATGGAAAAATTCCATACGATTGATCGAGCATGTTTGTATTAGAACTGGGAGTATCGTCTTTCATTCTTCACTTTGCTACTTTTATTTCATTTTCATAATCTATTTCACCTTTTAAATTTGATGATATCTCTAAGAAAGTATGCTAACAGTTAAACATCCGCTAGATATATAGAAAATTTAGATGCCACAATTTGGCCAAAGGGTTTGGCTGTGCATTTGCACCTGTAACATGATGAGCACATGTAGTGCCAATCCCCAAGTGTACAGCACTATATAGCTTTGTGGCAGAGTGTATGACTGTGGGCACAATCCTAGTTTGGGTTTCCAGCCCTCATTCTCGCAATGTGGGGGTAGAGACTTTAAAACTGACAGGGCTTTTCTTTAGGGTCTTGCCTATTCATAGCTACCCATCATATCATTCTAACTGTGTGGTAGGATATATTACCCCTTGTGTATGGGTTTGTTTCCCCCTTTGCAAAGTATTCACGGACCGAGGTGATGAGGCTACAATTACATATGTAGCCTACAAGGTCAAGGACATTTTATACAAATGAAATGGCAGTTATCCACAACACTGCGCATTGTTTGGAATCTTTATATTAGACATGGAATGAAATTTCCGATCCTTACATTGGTGATATACATAGAGTATACCGATCTAACCTTTGTACCTATTACTTTCATCCAGAACTGTGTGTATGCCAGTGCTATGTATGCATGACCAGGTGTTGATAATTAGGTTGTTTCCACTACTACATTTTTAAAGAACATGTGACACAATAATTGCCAAATTTATGCTCTATTGAATATTCATAATTTGTAATACAAGTTGTATGTTGGTAATTTAGTGACTGTCAGCTGTCCTACAAACAAACAAACATTAATGTACATATATAAGCAAAGTTATACACGACGGGACTTGAATTTCACTATAGCACCAAATGCACATCGCTTGGTTACTCCCTTACTTTCCCGGCTGGTACCTTGGAGTTCTGCCTGCCATAGCAGCCCCACCTTGTCAGTTGTCACTATACCTCTCCCAAAAATGTGCACTTTCTGTATGTATCCTTGCTTGTCTCATTTAAAAAGTGTTAGTAAAACATGTAAAAAGAAAGTTAGGTATTGGTGACAGTATTCGTTTTAATAATCCAATTAAAATATCTTTTTTTTTTAGTTATACAGGTACCTCAAGTCCCCGTCTCGGCAACCGGGTATTTGAAACGTTCTAGTCATCGAAAAGTGGAATCTCGGTACATCTGCGGGTAAAGAATTACAAGGAAATAGCAGATAAACAGTGAAGTGTAAAAATCTGGCATTGACATTGGTACACAACCGTCATACCGGGATTTCAGTACAACGTGCAGTGCAAGTTCTCGAGATAGTAGCTAAGCGATGCCCGGTGAAGGTAATATGGAGAACGGCCCACGCAGTATCGGCGAGGGTGACAAGTGTGATAACAGTGCCAAGGCCAGTAGTAGCACCACTCAGCCGTCATCCACAGCAAGCGCTGATGACGTGAAAACCAAACCCAACGACCTTTGTGAAGGTCGTCGCCAAACAAACGGGAGCAAGGAAACGAAATCTCAAACGGCGCCTCTTCGACGACGTTCGGCAACAAATAGCGAATCTCCAGAGGCTGCTCAACATCCGAATAAGTCGCATGTGGATGCACCCACCGTGATCTCAAACGAAACGCCAAAGATCTGTGACTCGACCGACGCGAGGGAAACGCAAAAGCAGCAAACGGAAACGTTGTCGCCGCAGCAACACTGCTGCGTGCCGTGCCTCGGCATCTTCCTCGCGATCCTGTCGACGATCACGATAACTGTGAGTGCGCTCTTCAAGAAGCTGTCGCCGGACGTCAGCCCGTACGTGTTTCTCTTCTACACGTACATCGGTGAGCTCCTTGGCATCCTCCCCGTTATGATCTACTACAAGGTGTCGTTTCTCGCCGACAACAACATGCAGAGGGGGCTGCTGTGCCTGCGCGCGTTTCTCGGCACGGTCGTCATAAACCTCATCTACGTCGCGCTGAACTACATCCCACTCGGCGACCTGTCTGTGATTCGTTTCAGCGCGCCCGTGTTCGTCGGCGTTCTCGCGTGCATTTTCCTGAAAGAGCGCTGCGGCATTTTCGAGACGTTTTGGGTTCTGCTGTCGATAGCAGGCGTGATACTCGTCGTGAAGCCGAACTTTCTGTTTGGCGTGCACGGCGGCAACTATGACACCAATCATGAAATCATAGGGTACTCGTTGGTCATGGTCGCGATGCTGTGTAGCTGCATGAATTACATACTGATTAAGAAGCTCAAGCATTTGAATGTGCATTCGTCGGTGCTAGTTTTCTTTGTGAGCATTTTCGGCATCATCGAAACGACGGTGATAATAGCTATTTTAGGGGAGGTTCCGTATGTTCCTTGCACTACAAGTGCGTACTATCTGTTTCTAAATGGTTACATATTCTGTGCTACTCAGATGCTTGTGACGGCCGCCATTTACATGGAGAATGCCGGAATCGTGGCGATCGTGCGAACAAATGGTATCGTTGTAGCATTCGTGTTTGACGTTGTTATCATGAAAGAATCCGTATCCCTTTTGTCTGTAGCCGGCGCAGGTTTGGTCGGATTGTGCGTAATAGGAGTTAGCTTCAGAAAGTGGATGGTGCAGTCTAAGAAAATGCAAGAGCGATTTCCTTCGCTTGCCAAAATATGTGGCATTTAGTACTTTAATAGCTGGTGCTGAAATAGCTTCAATATAAGTTTTATGTCATATATTTCAATTGTTTTCACCCTCACTGTTCGTATACTGGTGAGCTGGTGAGCTTGCAAATTGGTCGAGGTGATCCAGCTGAGAGAACATGAGTTTAGTCTTAAGGGCCGGACACACTAGGCGATTTTAATGCGATCTAATCGGGCGACTTTATCGCCCGATAATATTGCCCGATTCTATCGCGCGAGTCGAGTGGACACACTAGGCGATTTTATCGGGCGACTGAAATAATCGCCCGATAATATCAAAACGTTTTGATCTATGCGATTAAATTGGGCGACTAAATCGGGCGACTAAATCGGTGGTGACTGACTGGACACACTAGGCGATTTCACCGGCGATTTAGTCGCCCAATTTAATCACCTAGTGTGTCCGGCCCTTTACTTTTGTCATGAAAGTCGGCAAAAGAGTTATCGTGAAAATGTGACAGTTTTCAGATGAAAAAAATTCGAATTTTATCACTTCGATTGAGAGTAAATTAATACATTGTAATAAATTAGGAATGAGTTGTCCAATTTTTCGTGGCAATTTGAATCCCCAATTCTTCTTAATCGGGTCAATTGTATGTGACTGAACAGACTGTCTATCTACATATAGGCTTCTGTGTGTGTACCTGTGAGGGGTTTCATGTCATTTACTATAGTCGGCATCTATGATAAATATAAAACCAAACTTGTGTTTCGTGAAGGATTATTATTATCTCCCGATGATCTGTCGGAATCAACTCAACCTAGAGTCTCATCAGTTCTGACCGGTCATCCTGTGATAACAATATCCAGCTCAGAACATTCCTGCGATATCTGTGTTTAGAACTTTAAAAAATGCCTTGCATAGGTCGCGATAGGTAATTCTTTGGTTAGAGCATATATATTTATATATATATAGTATATTATTCATTGTTATATTGTTGCTAGATTTTCTTTGTAGTATGCCATCGTAATAAGTTTCATGTACAATGTGGTAATGCGCATCATCACTAGAAGTCGAATGAAATGTGATAATTGTAACTAGAGTAAGGGGTATGTGGACGTGACTCTATTCTTCTATGCTGAAAAATCTCACCCATGCAAACCCCATGCTCTTCGTTAAAGGAGGTGTGTCCTCCCTCAGCCGCACTAGTCAGGAAAACTGCTGCTCCTACTAATCTTTGACATGATCGAATTTCCTGGCAGTTGGGGTGTTCCCTAGTATGGCAAGCAGTGCAGGTAATCTTGCTTATCACCGTCTTTATAATGATTCTATTAGTTCCGATGATCCCATCTATGTAGTAGGTGGTAGAACATGCTAGTTCGCATGTGTCAACGGGGAACCCATTCTTTGATAATTATAGGTTTTGTGAGCGCAGTGGCAGCAGATTCTGGTATCACTATACGTTACCGAGTGCAGACAGTAGTAAATCTTGCATTTTACTACGGAGATCTAGTCAGCTATAACATCTTGGGCCATTTCTTGGCCATATTACTCACACTCACACCGTACATTCTTATATTCTGTATATATATGGATGCAAGTTGTAGGCCTATTTGTTGTTCATGTTCCATAATATAGCAATATTGTTATTTATGACCCAGCTTGTCACTTGAGCTACGAGAACTGCACTCATACTATTAGATTACAAAATCTAGCAGTCCGCTTTGACGCATGAGTTGCATAATTTAACTGAAATTGTTTCCGCGTAGCTCCCGTATTATGTATGGCTCCCGTATATGTATAGCTCCCGTATGTAGGCTATAGTCATATTGTTATAGTTTTACTGCTACCGCAACTACTTGGGCTTATATTTATTAAATAAATATATACCATATTGAATGAATACACGCGTTCCGTATTGTTTTCGGGTGTTGGGCATTTATAATTTGCATTTAGTTTATTATTTATAGGGAAATATTGAAGGCGCATTCTTACGTAAATTTTAAGTCAAATTATTTAAACATTTTACCAGTTCACGCACGCGCACGATCATGGCTGGCGACGCGTTTCCGTCCATCACTAGAATATATATACGAATGTCACGCGGTGCTGTTAGATCGGAAAAGACGAACAAAGTCTAACAAATATATAGACTCCACATTTCAATATACTGTACACCATATTGAGTGAATACACGCGTTCCGTATTGTTTTTTGCTGTTAGGCATTTATAATTTACATTTTGTATATTATTTATAGAGAACTAGAAAATGTTTAAGGCGCATTCTTACGTAAATCTCGTAAGTCATAAATAATATGGACATTTTGCCTGTTCACGCACGCGCACGATCATAGCTGGCGACGCATTTCCGTCCATTGCTAGAATATTATATATGCGAATGATTCGCGTTGCTGTTTGATCGGAAAAGACGAACAGAGACTAACAAATAAATAGACTGCACATTTACGTCAAGTCGTGTAGCAATGTTTAGGTCGATTATTGTGCTTTTTAATGTTACACTATAGATCACATCATCCGAATCTAAAATCCGGGAATTTCCATGCACGGATTCGCGTTATTTTTTATAAGCATACACTGCGGAGATTCCGGATACAATTAAATTCACTACCACATTTTTTTTAATTTAGAATTTCACGTTCAGCGTGTAATCTTATGTAAGTCATAGAAACTAATAAAAGTAGCTCATTTTGAAAAAGCATGTGTCAAAATTAATTTCCAGCCCATAATTAAATGAACACACTTTCCCTAATATTAATTGTTTGTCTAAAACACGTACCAGAAAAACAGTAGATAGTAAATAAAAGGTTTTACACCTGGTTGACCCAATGTTTTAATTTTTAACCCAATGTTTTTTTATGAGTGGTCGATGAAGGCACTACCCTATTTTTAACGTTTGAGAAAAACGTCTATTTTACAATTTTCGCGGACCGCGGGTTCTTGTAAAAAAATTCTGCACCGTATATAAGAACGTGGATGCGTTCTCTTTTTTTTCAGCTAGAAGTACGCACCACCCCTCCTTTCCCGCGTCTCTTGATTTCTGATCATGATTGTATAAAGGACCGTTCTGACGGGATTTCCCGGTGACCTTTTTAGTGGTTATATCTTATATAATTATGAGATATGCGTGTATCCAATCGGGAGTGTCATAATATAGACGGCTATATATTACACCAGTATACCGTAGTGCCCACCACAGCAGCACGGCACTGTCGTG